AAGATGGTATACCGCAAACATGAGGTGCAAAAATTTGTACACCATATCCGGATTTCGACAATTAATGTCTCTTTAGTGATGTTAGGAATCGAAACGGTATTTGGAAGGCCATATAATTTACCTCAATTTAGGATAGACTCTTGAATTTTAAAAGAGTCAAAATAGGATGACAAATCATATAAACCCGAAGGCAAATATAATACAAGCCCAAACGAAAAAATATAAACAGTCTAAATATATATATATGCGTTTTTAATATATATGCGAATTTAGATTAATAATAAAAGTTATTGAAATTTTAATGTTATTGTGAAGTTTCTACTATTGTTTGTACATTGTTCCCTCTAAGAACGTTTCACTGAATAATATTTCTGTTGCAAGAATAAAATTAAACGTTTTGAAGGCGTCTTATCAGAAGTATGTAAAATGTTTCTGTAGAAACACATTCATGAGGACATCCTAAGGCATAAACATATTTGACATCACCGAATGAGACTTATTACCAAATGTATACTGATAGAGGGTGCAATAAGTTGAGCAGGATCTGCTTACACGTCGGGAGCACCTGAGATCACCTCAGTGTTGTTGGGTTTCGTGTCAGGTTTTCTATGTTGTATTTTTCGAACAGTTGTCTGTTGTATCGTCGTTTTGCCATGTCTTTGACAAGTTATCTCCGGCTCATGAGTTAATTTTGCATGGCATTGCACCAAAATAAACAAAAGTAGCAAAGAGAAAGAACTGACGGGGTATCTTAGCCTTGCGACCAGCAGTAAAACCGTTAGTGAACTGGGTGTCCGTTTGACTGTGTGGGATGAATAAATTATCAGCCATGTTTGGAATGGTTTGTTACGCTAACAATTGTGGGATATATAAATACGCAGTCACGTCTGGTTAGAATGTGCACGCTAACTATATAATTAAAAGAATGAATACTTTGTTCCCATGTTACATTTTTGCGCCTGTCCCAAGTCAGGAGCCTCTAGCCTTTGTTAGTCTTGTATTATTTTTAATTTTAGTTTCTTGTGTACAATTTGGAGTTTAGTATGGCGTTCATTATCACTGAACTAGTATATATATTTGTTTAGGGGCCAGCTGAAGGACGCCTCTGGGTGCGGGAATTTCTCGCTGCATTGAAGACCTGTTGGTGACCTTCTGCTGTTGTCTGTTCTATGGTCGGGTTGTTGTCTCTTTGACACATTCCCCATTTCCATTCTCAATTTTACAGCAGCAACATCTATTCACACAATTTGAGTAGTTTTGGAATATTCTGTTACTATAATAGTAACTTGTCGAAGGCCTATTTTTATAGCAGGTACTTGTTGAAAGTCCTATTTTTATAGCAGGTACTTGTTGCAAGTCCTATTTTTATAGCAGGTACTTGTTGGAAAGTCCTATTTTTATAGCAGGTACTTGTTGAATGTCCTATAGTCATAGCAAGTACGTGTTGATCGTCTCATAGTCAAAGAATGTACTTGTTGAATGTCATATAGTTAAAGCAGGTACTTGTGTACGTGTTTTTCAACTTGCAATCGGCATTCCATAGGACCCAATTGTGTTACTTTTTTTAAGACTTTTTCTTTTATTCACATAAAACTAGCTTATTTGGCAGACTATGAAAATAATCCAGCATCATCCTTCAACCTCACTTTCCGCTACATATATGTGCCCTCTCACTAAATAATTTAAAGCTGGGGAGAATATGTCGTACGTATTTATCCCATTGAACTTGATTTAAAGGATACCACAGATACAGTTAAGTGTTCCTCGCATCTTGAATTCCATCAAGAAATCGACATTGAAGGTCATGGTCCTGAAGTGTTATATAAAATGATTTTATTTTTCATCCGATTTAAATGGGATTTTCGTAGTTCATACGGTGATTGAGTTCAAAGTGTAAAAAAAAAAATTTAAAATCACACTTTGCCACACTTTACCTAGGACATTTAATATTTTTATTTTTAACCGAGATGAATGTGGTCTTTTGCATTATGTTCTTCATTTTTATCTCTTTAAAAAAAAAAGAAATAACATCAAATGCATTAACCGTGTCCAAATCCTTACTATGTCCACACTCTTTGTTTCAACATTTGCCAAATTGTACCGAGATTTCGCGTGCATCTTCTAATTGTTAGAAAATGCCATTTAAATTACATCTACGACAATTTAATCAGTACTACAATCATGTTTGTTAAATAAACATTTATTATGTCACTTGAGGTATCACCTTTATAACGATTTTTGTTTTTCTCCTTCTTTTTCGTCGAACGTTTATATGGGCCTAAGCCCTTGGTAGCCGCTGTAGATAGTCTAACTACTGTATGACTAGCCTGTAAACACTCAGGTTGCGAGATCAAATCCTGCACGTGATATGTGCTTTCGACTAGAATCTTGACTTACATCTACAAATTGACAATGAGGGTCGGTTAAAAACAAACTTTACGACAAAAGAGATGATTTTAGCTACCCAATTGTAAACTTTCCATTTTTATGTAGCAACATACCAGCAGCGCCTGCATACGGAGCATATATCTCCCATTTGATAAGATATTCCCGGGCTTGTATTTTCTATCATGATTTCCTTGATAGAAGATTGCCGCTCACAAAGAAGCCATTAAATCAAGAGTTCAAAATGGTGAAGTTGAAATCATCCCCTCGTAAATTTACGGATGCCATCTCAAGTTAGTTGACCGTTATGGAATATCCGTTTCACAGATGATATCGGATATGTTCCTCATGTCTTAACTACAATCCCCTTCCCTTTTTACGAATGTGACCTACCAAATTAGACCATTTATCGCGTTTGTAATAACATGAGCAACACGACGGGTGCCACATGTGGAGCAGGATCTGCTTACCCTTCCGGAGCACCTGCGATTATCCCCAGGCCTTGCGGTCATAAAACTTTCGAGCACGATTTTCGTACTCAGACTCAGAAATCAACCAATCAAAATCATGGATTTGGTGTTTCGAGCACAAATTTTGTACTCCAAGTACTGAGTAAAATTTTATGACCGAGAGCCCAGTTGTTGGTTGGGTTCGTGTTGTTAAGTCTTTAGTTTTCTATGTTGTGTCTTGTCTACTATTATTTGTCTGTTTGTCTTTTTCTTTTTTAGCCATTGCGTTGTCTGTTTATTTTCGATCTATGAGTTTGACTATCCCTCTTGTATCTTTCGCCCCTCTTTTCTAATTGTCTAGGATTGTCTTTACGTGTATTTCAGTATCCTCCACCAATAAAACTAGCCGTCGCTAAATTAAAATAGCAAACATTGCTGAAAGTTGCATTAAACACTCGTTAATCATTCAATTAATCGAAAGTTTCTGTTGCTCTGAATTATTCAGAGCACATCGGATCCTTGGGTTTGTCCTTTAAATGTCTTTTCCAAGCATTTTAAATGCAAAATTTCTTCTCCGTTCGTCGATTCAGTACCCAGTTGTTCTCCATCAGTCATATGCTATTGTTTCATCGGTAAAAGCTTTAATTTTGCCATCAATACATTAAAACATTTTAAAATTAAATTGTTGGTATTCAGATAAGAACACCCACGGTCCTACATTCTTTCGATACCTATATTTTTGCGTAGCACAAGGTCATGTTATTCTCGGTCATTTTATGATGTTCTTACCTTAAATCCGTTGAATGTGTGTTAATTGATATTTTTGTCTTAGAAACATAATTTTTTATTGATTGGTGTTTAACGCCATTTTCAGCACTGTTGTAGTATTTCATTGCGGTCATTTTTAATTTTAATGTAAGAGGAAGCCGGGGTGTCATGAGAGGACCACAGACCTTCGGTGGGGAAATTGACAATTTTATATAAAACAGAGAACTGTATATGTGTCTGAAGAAAATAACAAGATGTTGTATGATTGCCAATGAGATATTTCTCCACAAGAGACCAGCTGACATGAAAAAAAATATAGCTATAGTTCCCCGTATGGCCTTCGACTATGAGTAAAATCCATTCCACTTAATCAGCGGTAAAAGGTCCGAAAAAGACAAATGTAAAACAATTAAAACGAGAATTGTACAAAATGATGCACGAATTAAAATTTGCGTCGAGCGCACCTGCCACGTGCAGGATTCATACTCACAACCTTAGTGTTGACAGGCTAGTGATGCATTAGTTCGACTTCTTAGACCAACGAGTCTCCTGATTTTCACTGTAAGTTGTTATTGGCTTTAAACTTTTTTTGGTAACTGCGAGTACCCTCAGATCTATACTTTGTGTCTAAAGTAGATTTTTAGTTGTTTTTGTCCTTGTTTGTTCAAGTGAGTTTATCCATTTTCAAATGATTTTTATACTTTAACTTTCTTGTGTTGTTACACCACCGTCCCAGGTTAGGGGAAGGATTTGCGCAGGACTTAACCCGGCTACATTATTCATGTACTTTTCTAGGGAAAATTATGTAACTCAGTTGTAGTCGTTTGTTGCTGTATATCATTTTTCTCGTTGTTTTGCACATAAATCAGTCCGTTAGCATTTTTTGGGTAAATTGTGTTACATTTAACATACAAGGGCCTTTTATTTCTTGCTATGCAGTATGGGGTTTGCACATTTGTAGTTTTCTACTAATAATGCACTCCCTTTGCATGTGCCCAGAGTTTTCTAAAGACCAAATTATCCAACATCGGCAGTGGCGATAGTGATAGTTCTTGTATTTGTACTATTTTTAGTTTAAGCCTCTGATTTTTGTTTTATCTTTTAACGTTTGGTTATCAATTATATGTCTTTTTCCGTAATAGAACTCTATTTTCTGTTTTATTTCTATAGTATGTCTTCTTTCGTTTTTTACATTTGTTTTTAATTTGATGCCCATTTTAGTTTTTGTTGTGTTTTCTATTTTAACGTCTGCTTTTTTAATTTTATACCAGTTTTTGTTCTTGACGTCTGTTTTCGTTTTTGACACCTGTTTTTTTTAATTTTTTGTATGTTCGTTGTATGTCTACTTTGGATTTTTTATGTACGTTTCTGGTTTTAACGTCTGTTTTTTAAATGCTGTTCAATCTTGCACGGATCTTTAATCAGTTAATTCAGAAAAAGGAATGATTTCATCGACAATTTGTATTAAAAAAACATTTCTACAAATAAGCAGATTTAAGAATCTTACATAGTGTGCCATATGGCTTTCAAGGTGTAATACCACCATTGATTTTTCCCTATTAGTCTTTGCTAAATTTGCACTTTTCAAAACATTGTGCAGAATTTATCTTTGTTTCAAATAAAAAAATACTTGGCATGATTGAAGTTTTATCCTGTCCAAAACTATAGAAAAATTTTCACATAACATTTCATTGCATATAAGAAAATAACCATCACTGGAGGTTAACCAATCTAATTTTATCCCTTATTTAACCTGTGTACAAGCTTTAGAAACCATGTAACCTCAAATTTCCAAAATTTCTATTAAAATTCAAATGAAAAAAATAATGGTGCTTTGAAATACCATAGATATATGTTATGACCAAGAAATGTTTTACTGCAATAAAATGTAGGATTAATTACCTACAACTGTCAAATACAAGGGAATATTTTTTTCGAACTATTTTCGTCCGGATCTTGCAACCGGATGTGACGTACCATGATTTGGTGGTATTACATATCAAATGTATTCTTTCATCAAAGTATATTTTTGGAAATTTTAAAACCTTTTCCGATGAATATATCTACATATATATATCATGAAAATATGAAATTTTGATAATGTTTTACAAATACAAAATTGGTCTGTATTGACTAATAGTTAACTATTGTGACTTTTGTCAATCCAGATTTCACATTTTTTTTCAGAATTTAACTAAAATTGTCCAGATTGATTTTAGATCATATTCATACATTTGCAAATGCAAAAAGAAACAAACGTTATACGTGTAATTTATATTACACAACATAAAATGTTTGGTTATAGGTCTTACTGGGTTTTTATCTATAAATTAATTGATATATACATGTAATTAGTTAATATACCTTAGCAGTTATTTATAAATTCATAAAAAGTATGAAAACGTATATTTAAAAAACATATATACAAAACTGTTGATTATTAAAAATTATCACCTTTTAAAAATGAATGTTTCAATACCAAAAAGCCCTTTCTTAAAAAAAATATGCTTTCAAAAATTTCAAGAACATATTTTACACACTAAGTTCAAAGTATTTGGATTTTTACTTCCTTTTGGGTCAGTCCCCGAAGCTACCACACGTCAAGTCGGTAGTGTTTCTTCGTTGAACTGATTAAATTACATTATTTATAAACTGTGTAAATATATTGAAACTAAGGTAAAGGTAAAAATGCTCTAACTCAAGGTATTTTGGCTTTTAAATGGTTCTTGGAAATTATCACTCAGCAAACAACAATTCTGTTGGACAATGCTATTTTGAATGAGTACAAATGAAAGAGATTTTGATTAATGCAAGGTATTGCATAACATTAGAACAAACTACAGAAATTTTTTGAAACGCTCAAACTTGTCAGAACCAGTCAAAGCACAAAAACAACTAAAATCACTAAAAACACAAATTACAAATGTGAGAGAACTCAAAAATCTTGCAAGACTAAAATAATATAATGTATCTAAGTCATGTTTTAATTGCAATTAAAAAAGTTAATGTTAGTAAAATTATTTTGTGTAAAAAGTGTAATAACAAAAATACCGAACTCCGAGGAAAAGATAATGTTTCTTTTCATGCTATTTTTATCGACCTTAATATAACGAGAGAACGAAAGATTTATGAGAGTTATTTCAGCAAAAACTATTATGGGAACTTTTTGATACTACATGTGTTTTTTCAGCAGAGAAAGGGGATGGTAGCAAACAAAATTCAAATAAAAATGAAATTACAAATTATAGAAAGCTGGTTACAAAAAGTGTTGACCAAACCCGTTACCCATAAATTTTATTCTGGAATAGTGCCAGCATAACCCAAGACATCTTCATTTTAAAGTATTGTAATATTTTGTAGTTATCACGTAAATAAAATAAAAAATGATGAAGTAATAAAAGGTTTAAATCTTTTTCAAAATGATTTTTCACCAGTATTTAACTAAAATTATGGAAACATTTTCAATCAATTTGAAACCTGTCGTCTTGTTATGGTATTCTCAGACAAAACATCATGTAGACATAAATAAAAAATTGTAAATTCAAACAAAACACTCGAACTTATGTATACTCTATCAGATATTTCAGATAGTACTGAGTATCATGAAAAATACAGTAAACTTTCGGATTCTGGACATTATCAACACAACTGTCAAATAATCGAGGTTTTATATCTGGATTCATTGGTGGTCTCTTATAGTCTGTTTTTCCAATGCATGATTTACCAGCCAAAACATTGGCAAAAAACATAAATTTATGCCCCTGTCTGTCTGACTCTGCATACAGATCAGAGTATTCAGGGGAAACAGCAAAATACGTTCCTTGTCCTAAACGTGCACCCATACGATCTCCAGCTAGACGAGGATCAAGATTCTGCTCTGCAATAACATCTAACATGTCAGGTGTAGTACCATGAAACAGGGAAAGCTGATTGGAACAACCTTTTCCATATGCATGTTCAAACTGCCTTTTCTTCCTGCAACATAATAAGTATGTTTTCTAAAACAAAAATATGTTAATGATAGCCGAATGAGAATTATGTTATTACTTTGATGCAGGCATTGTCAAACCATTTTATTTTAAGATTATAGATTGTTGGGGAGGAAAAACAAAACGGTTCAGATCAAGTGTACTATTCTGACAATTATATAAATAATAACCATAACTCATGCAGTATACCTCCATTGAACGCATTCATGAGTAACGCATGTGTTGAAATTGCCATATTCGAGTATCACAAAATGAAAATACATTCTTTGAGTATTGTTGTCGAAAAAATTTTGCTATCTTCTTCTCCAATACCAAATGTCAAGCAAACAATAATATAAATCATTTTCAACACAATAGTTGCGAATAAAATAATAATATTTAATAGCAATAGTATAATTTAAATTTAAAAGGTTGATTCTTAATTGTAGACTAACATAAGCAAGATAAATGACAAAGATTAAGATTTAAACTAGGGGCTCTCAAGAGCCTGTGTCGCTCACTTGTATCTACGGTTTTAGCAATCATGTAAATATTATAATAAATAGTATTAGATACCCTTATAAGGATTGAGGCCAAGTTTGGTTTAATTCGGCCCAGTAGTAACTGTTAAGCAGGTAATCCCATTGTTGTATGAAAACCCCTTATCATTACTATAGTATCTAAATTAGTTTTCCAGTTGTGACCATTTGAAATTGTTTTTTTTTACAATTTTCCCTTGACTTCTATAGTAAACCCTTTTGTTCTATTTTAAGCCATGGCTGCCATGTTGATTTGATGAAAGGGTCATCGGATACATTTTTCAATCAAGAATCAAGATACCTTATTGAAAATTGTTGCTTAGTTTCAATCTATTTGCCCCAGTAGACTAAGTATAGAAGATGTTTTTTGTAAAAAAATGACGGACGACGACGGACGACAGAGGCAAAGGGATGAGAAAAACAGAAAAAAATTAAGTGTCCATGCGCTTGTTTTCGAGATATACTAGAAGATGCCCGTGCAGTACAATTGGGCAAGTGTTGAAACAAAGAGTTTTTAAATTTCGCGGGCAGTATGTCGTCTTGCAATGTCTTAGCATGCGCGAAAGCATATAAGACACAGATCGATAAAGGTCTCCGAAATTTAATTTTTTTCTTCAAAATTGGCGTTTTCTGTTGAAAAAGGATGGTTTCAAAGACAAATCTAGGAAATACAAAACACTACATTTATACGTCATATATTTCGAATTTCCAATGGTTTCAGATGAGTTGCGGCACAAGGTAATCGGTGTCTACCGTTTAGCAGTATAGATGCCATTAGAAATTTGGCAGGACATGATTCTCTCTAGATTTTTCAAAAACTATAAGATTTTTAACTAGAGGCTCCAATTTAAAAAATGACTTTAAAGGGCAATTACTCCTTAATACGGTCAAATTACAATTTTGGTCATGTTTGACTTATTTGTAGATCTTTCTTTGCTGAACACTATTCCTGTTTACACTTTATCTCTATCTACAATAATATTCAGGATGATATTAGGAACCAAAAAACTGCGAAATTTCCTTAAAATTACTAGTTCAGGGGGCATGAATCCAACAACGTGTTGTCTGATTTTTCTGAAAATAGCAGGACAAACAAATAAAACCTAATGAACATTTTTACCCCATTTCAGATTTACTCTGAATGCTTTAGTTTCAGAGTAAAAGCCAACAACTGCATTTTACCACTATGTTCCATTTAGCCATGGCGGCCATGTTTGTTGGCAGGCAAGGTCGTCGGACACATTTTTTAAACTCAATACCCCAATGTTTATTGTGGCTAAATTTGGGTAAATTTGGACCAGTAGTTTCTGAAGAGAAGAATTTGTAAAAAGTTAACTGACGACGACGGACGACGGACCCAAAGTGATGAGAAAAGCTCACTTGGCCCTTTCGGACCAGGTGAGCTAAAAGGGGTCTTCTTAAAGTCAACAAGCATTCTGTGAGTATTGCATGGCAAAACATAGTCCTTTACCGATTAAAAATTCATTGTATTGGAACAAAATTCGAACTTGATCTCTAAAAGAGGGGCGAAAGATACCAGAGGGACAGTCAAACTCATAGATCGGGAATAAACTGACAACGTTAACGCCATGTCTAACAAAGAAAAAGACAAACAGACAATTAACAGTACACAAGACACAACATAGAAAACCAAAGACTAAGCAACACAAACCCCACTTAAATCTGGGGGTGATCTCAGGTGCTCTCGAAGGGTAAGCAGATCCTGCTCCACATGTGGCACCCGTCGCGATGCTCATGTTATTACAAGCCCAGTAAATATTCTAATTCGGTAGGTCACATTCGTGAAAAGGGAAGGGGATTGTAGTAACGACATAAGGAACATATCCGATATCATGAAACGGTGATTCCATAACGGTCAACCAACTCGTGATGGCTTCCGTTAAATTTACGAAGGGATGATTTGAACTTCACCATTGGGAACTCTTCGTTTAACTCATTCGACCCCAAGAAATTTCTGGAAAATCAGGCATTTTCGAAAATTTGCAAACGTATGCAAATTAGATGACTCTTGATGATGTAACTGATGCTGATCTATTAAACTATGTATTGAGATTTGGGGGCGGATGACATGGGTGGGTGGTGGGGTGGGAGGTGCTATATTTTCTGGTGGATTTGAACCCACCAATACTGAAAAATGGTTTTTCGATTTTAATACGACCTTGAGAGGTGAACATTGACTTAACTGTGTTTCTTTATCATTTAAGTATTACCTTACAGTTAGTTTCTTTGTCATTCAAGTATTACCGTACAGTTACAGCAGTCTATCCATACTGACTGGAAGTAAATGTGACTTGAGAATCTTGCTGGGGAATTATTATTGGCTAGCCAAGTATGCCTAAATGTCCGTTTTTACCAATTTCTGACAAAACGGTGACCAAGATTTTAAAGACAACATTTCTTTTGGCCATATCATACCTCCTTGTGTTCCTGTACCATCTATGCAAGTATTTATGATAATAGTTGATACCTACAGCCCATACCAGTAACGTAGTGGCCATAAAAAGACTCCCACCCCAACGTGATTTTGGCTACTTTTCACGTTTTTTCGATTTTGAACTTTAAAAACGGAATTAAATTTGCCATATTTTCATAATCACATATCTAAGAAGAGTTTATGGACCATGAATCGCATGTTTGAAGTCCCTGCTGTAAAAACGGTTGAGATGGGGCAGTTCTAAAAAAGTATGGAGTGTCATACAGGCCATCAAAGATTGGTGGTCGCCATCACGACTACGGGCGGGATTGGGGCGAAGGGGTTCAACGTATTTGATCAAAATCGTCAAATTTGTCTTCTGTTGGGTTATAGGGACATTTTGGGGTTTAAAACTGACCAAAACACTCTTTTAAGGTTGAAAATCGGAGAAAATATGTTTAGTTTAACTCATTCGACCCAAAGAGATTTCTGGAAAATCAGGCATTTTCGAAAATTTGAAAACTTATGCAAATTATATGCAAATTAGTAAACTCTTGATGATGTAACTGATGCTGATCTATTAAACTATGTATTGAGATTTTGGGGGCGGATGGCATGGGTGGGGGGTTGGGTTGGAGGTGGTATATTTTCTGCTGGGTTTGAACCCACCAGTACTGAAAAATGGTCATTTTAAGTCTATTTTTCGATTTTAATACGACCTTTAGAGGTGAACATTGACTAAACTGTGTTTCTTTGTCATTCAAGTATTACCTTACAGTTACATCAGGCTATCCATACTGACTGGAAGTAAATGTGACTTGAGAATCTTGCTGGGGAATTATTATTGGCTAGCCAAGCATGCCTAAATGTCCGTTTTTACCGATTTCTGACAAAACGGTGACCTAGATTTTAAAGACCACATTTCTTTTTGCCATATTATACTTCCTTGTGTTCCTGTACCATCTATGCAAGTATTTATGATAATAGTTGATATCTACAGCCCATACCAGTAACGTAGTGGCCATAAAAAGACTCCCAACCCCACCTGATTTTGGCTACTTTTCACGTTTTTCCGATTTTGAACTCTAAAAAGGCCATTAAAGTTGCCATATGTTCATAATCACACATCAAAGAAGAGTTTATGGCTATGAATTGCATGGTTAAAGTCCCTGCTGTAAAGGGAGTTGAACGAGGCAGATCTAAAAAAGTATGGAAGGTCATACAGGCCATCAAGAATGGTGGTCGAATTGGGGGCGAAGGGGTTAAACGTATTTTATCAAAATCGTCAAATTTGTCTTCTGTTGGGTTTTAGGGGCGTTTTGGTGTTTAAAACTGACCAAAACACTCTTTTAAGGTTGAAAATCGGAAAAAAAATATTTTTAGTTCAACGTATTTTATCAAATTTGTCTTCTGTTGGGTTTTAGGGGCGTTTTGGGGTTTAAAACTGACCAAAACATTCTTTTAAGGTTGAAAATCGGAAAAAAAATATTTTTAGTTTAACTCATTCGACCCCAAGGGATTTCTGGAAAATCAGGCATTTTCGAAAATTTGCAAACTTATGCAAATTATATGCAAACAAGAATTCTGAGAGTATTGCATGGCAATACATAGTCCCCTACCAGGTAAAAATTCATTATACTGGAACAAAATGCTAACTTGTTCTATAACTTGTCATGGTGTAAACCACTAAAGGCTCTAAAGAGCCTGTGTCGGTCACCTTGATCTATATGCATATCAAACAAAGGACACTCTACAACATTGTAGACGAGAATAGACTACATGACAAAAATCTCTATTTTGTTGATCTTGTATTACTGATTTTTTAGTCTGTTTAGTTTCTCTCTATCTTCTTTAGTTTTGCTCAAAACACAAAAGAGGGTAAAAAAAATCCTCATTTAAAGGCAATCACTCCTATGAAGAGTGACAGTCTACTAACTATATCGGCCAAATTTGACTTTTTAATAGATCTTGCCTTGCTGATCATTTTTGTGATTTAAAGTGTTTATTTATCTATTATAATTAAAATCATATAAG